CGCCTGGGACCTGAAGATGTGTTGCCCTCATATAGCAGAGAGAGGAAAAACAGGAAGCTCAAAAACCTCTTCTGATTTCTGATAGTCCCCAGATCTGTAGCTGAGCGCCTTCAAATACAGGTTAAAAGATGACCCCCAACTGCAACATGCAAACATTCACAAGCAACAGGCTGATCTTCAAGGTCCTTTTGTTGCAGCAGACAAAGTGCAAAATAGTAACAAGAATTTGGAAACCAATGCTCAAAATTCAAGCTAAAAAGATGTCTTAAACACTTGAAAGAGATGCAAGCCAACAGAAGGAGCAGTGACCCAGCCCTGCGTGCTGCCCTCCTCCTCCTGCTGGCACCAGCATCCCCACAGCTGTTGGGTGATCCACGCTGGGAACTGACCCACATGAGCTCAGCAGAGAAAATGGCTCATTCCAGCCCCAGCTCCTTCCCACATGGCTCCACAAACACTTGTGCCAGCAGAAGGAAAGGAGAAAGCACAGGAACAAACAGAGCAGCTGGAGCCAGATGATTGGACTGCTTCTCAAGGCAGAAGAGTTTGAAGTGATTGTTGAAAACATGGCCAAAACTCAGATTTGTAGCACTGTGGGAAGCCAACAATTACCCCAGAGAGGTGGTGGGTTCAGCATCTCTAATCTTCTGAGAAGCTCCCTCAGTGCAGGTGCTGAGTGCAACAGCAATAAAACACTACTGTACCACCACAGGCAGAGGGAAATTTTTGGTGGGGTCATTAGATGGGAAAACACCCAAACCATCAACAGATTGCTCCAGAGCTGACAGCCCAGCCTCACACCCCGGCAGCTCCCACAGAGGGAGGAGCTTCACCTGCTCACCCATGGCCTGCAGCACCCACAAGGAAGGAGGTGAAGGGAGCCAAGCAGAGCAGGATGGGCAGAAGGGCCTTTTCCATGAGGAGTTCCCTTGCTGACCCCTGGCTTGAAGCACCCACAAGGAAGCAGGTGAAGGGAGCCAAGCAGAGCAGGATGGCAGAGGAGCTTTTTCCATGAGTTCCCCTGCTCACCCATGGCCTGCAGCACCCACAAGGAAGCAGGTGAGGGGAGCCAAGCAGAGCAGGATGGCAGAGGGGCCTTTTCCATGTCCTCAGCACGTGTGGCCAGATGACAGGGACAGGTCTGCAGCACCAGCCAAGCGCACCCAGGGCCCAGGCAATGAGGGATCTCCAACTGCACCTTCCAGAGCAAACCCAGCCCAGAGCCATCCACAACCTACTGAGATACCAGCAAGGGCAACAGCCTGCACACAAACCAACCAACAACAAGGGGGGAGCAGTGGAAAACCTTCTGGAGCACTTTGGCTCTTCACCCTGTTTATGTTTCTCTGTGACACACCCTGTGGCTTTGCCACCACATCCAACAGCCACATTTCCAGCAGCCACATCCTAGAAGTCCGGGCACAGCCTGGCACTTACAAGCTCCATCAGGGCACAGCAAGATGAGATACCTGCCAACAGCTGCAGTGATGGCACACCAAGCTCTGAGCAGCATTGCCATTCCTCAGGGAAGCCAGCACAGCACTGTCTGGTTCTCCACAGCAGCTGTTTCCACCAAGAGATGCATTACCAGCTACCAGGGGAAGGATCATCTGTGCCAGCCTTGCTCCTGCACCCTGGCTGAAGGTAACCACAGCTGCCTGATGGCTCAGCCACTGCCTGTGGGTCCCCAGTAGCCTCTAAGCACAGTTGTCACAGTGCTCTGCACCTTCTTCAGGAAACAGTGATCACAGACACTATTGCAGTGCACATTTAACTCATTTAAACGATTCCATGGCACTTCAGAGGAGCCTATTCCAGATTTATTCCCATTACTAGTGAAGCAGATGCCTGGTTAAGTACCATGGGCACAGTCACTGCCTCAATTATACAGCAAGGTGAGAGTCACAAAAAGGCTTTTGTCAGTGCAGCCATGACCCCACACTAGGAAACAAAAGACAAACCCAACAAAGGTTTTATTTTCATTGAAATTTTGCATTTTGAAGGCTTTTTTCTAGCAGCTCTCATACCCATCACAAGTACTGTAAGAGTTCAGGACACAAGGCAAGCTGGGAAGACACTCAGGACAGAAGTAAACACTGGCTCTGGCTGATTTTGGAACAGCTGTCTGTGCACCCAGCTCAAGAGCCATTTTCTTGGTAATGTGTCTTAGTGATTACAACATTGTTCATTTAGAAATACAATATCAATAAACAATTGATGGAAAAGCAACTCCCCTAAAAAGATGACAATAAGCCAAACCAACAATTATGTTAGACCAAAAGCTACTCATCCTCTACAGCAAAGAGTCTGGATACTAAAAGCAGCTAAGAATCACTGTTTGTTGTGCTAAATAAAAACGTTTCAATGGCAAAAGAGATCAAAACTGCCACAAATGACAACATTTCCTATGGAAAGTTACATAAAACCACTCTGAATAGCAACCTAAAAAAAATCTTAGAGGAAATAACAATAACAAACGTTGGAGCCACCAGAAGACAGACTTTATATTCAGGAAGGATGGAAGGCACAGAGCCACTCAGAACAGCTTTCTTGGAGTGTTCCTTTGAAACTCAGAGCATCCTCACTCCCCATCACACCCCTGCTTTCTCCAGCACCACCACAGTTCTGCTCACCTGGGCACAAGTGAGAGAATAAAAAATGCCCACAGCAGCCAAGGCCTGGGGGAGATCCTTCAAAGGACCAATTGAACAGCCAAGAATTCAGAGCAGAGCTGGTTTGGCTGCTGTCCCTCACCATTAGGTGATGCAGCCAAGGACAGGAGAGCCACTCTGGTGCTCTGAATTCTCCCTTGGCTCATGTTTGAGGGCCAGGCACAGACCATCTCCTGCTGTGTCCAACTGGAAATAGCTGCAGGAAGAGCTTGTCTTGCTCTGCAGGTGTGTGCACACCTCTGCACATTCATCGTGTGCCCAGTGCAAGAACTCATTCATAATGCAAACAGAAGTAATCAGAATTCTAGCTTGGTTTAGCAAAAAAAAAAAAAAAAAAAATTCTAAGTGAACCACACTTCTTCAGGCTGAGTGAATGGCACATCCTTACTCACTGCTCTCCCTGAAATTACAGTCCCAGAACAGCCAGGGAAAAGGAAGGTACACTCACACTTCTTGGCAAAACAACTCCCAGTTTTCTACAGTTCACTTTAAGGCTTTGAATTTAAGCAACAGAGTAACAAATCTCCCGTGTGCTGACTGCTACAGGGCAGTGACTCCCGAAATACAGAAGCTGCATTTGTCTGAGCCCTCCAGATTTTAAAATCCAAGCAGCTCTAACTTTCACTGAGCCAAAGCCAAGGAAGTGCCAGACCTGGAGGACTCTGAGTGCAGCGTCCTGTGCCGTTTCAGGATGACCTCATAGGGATTGTTCCTTTTTAAAGGAAAGCAAACCTTCAAAGCAGGGATTGCTGCTGACCAGCAGAGCAAGGGGCTGGCTCTGAGCACAGTGGAAACAGGAAGGGGAGGAGGTGGCAAAGGTAAGCTTTCCAGAAAAGGCAAGATCAGGCATGGCTTGCTATCTCTTCTCCCCCTGGGAAGGCTCTACTGTGCCAGGGAAGAATTGTGCAATGACACCTCAGACTTCACTGAGAAGAAATTACATTTCCTTTAATAAACACTGTGCTTTGGAGATGCTCTGATTACTAAAGCAAGGTCTGTTTGTTGCTGAAGGCCCCAGAATTTAAGAACATATCCGCTGCTCAGGTTTGCATCACCGCACTTCCAACATTTCTCTGGTAGGCAAAAAGGAGCTGTAATTATATTTGAAATAAATTGTTTACCTAGATAGTTGAAGAGTGCATCCAAAGGAAATTACAGCAAAAACAAGCCCTATGTCAATGTGACATTTGCTGTCTGTGCAGCAAGTAGAGCACACAAGCAATGAAACGTGCACTCTTACAGCTTTAGGAGATTGGACCACTAAGATAAATGTGAAGAATACGCTCTCTGTCTTCACCCAGTGGGAAACAGACACTGTTACTCGGAAGGGTTTGACCATAGTTTGGATGATTTGGTCAAAAACTCAGCTGCTGATTTGCTCTTTGTTGCATCATCCCAACACACATTAGAAAAAAACCAAAACTACCTCCTCATTCCTACAGCAGCATGAACTGAAACAAAGATGAGAGGTGTGAGCTGAAGCTTCAACTGCTCCTGGACAGCAACAAGGTGGGTAGGACCAAAAAAAGGAGCAAACAGTCAGAAATCCCTGAAGTTCAACTACCAAGGATATGACAATGGGCAATCTCAGCACAGACGCATTTCCACTTCTCCCTGTGGAAACCTCTCCCCCAGGGGCACAGACATTCTGCCTGGGAAAACAGAGAGGCTGGCAGGCAAGCCCTGCCCAGCTCAGCTCAGGCTGCACTGGGGGAGGCTCTCCACACTCCATGCAAGCAGACCCGCATGGTCTGAGCACACAGCACACACCAAATTAGCCTGGGGTTCTTCGAGGACATGGAAACAGCGCTGCCAGCATGACCATGGGAAATGCTGCCAAACAGATCCATTTCCTTCCAAGGTTAAATCTGCCTGTTGCCAGCCTAATCTCTTGGGACTAAGAGCTGCAGGGTTAATCCTGTCCCTTTTAAATGTGATTCTCTTAGAGGGGAGTTATTGAGCACTAGCAGAGTAAGCAACCTGGTGCCCATTCAGGTCTGCTAGTCCTGAACGAGGCAAAAAAATAAACAAACAAAAAGAAAACAAAACAAAAGAACAACCACAAGGCTAAAAATAAAGCCTACCACCAGGGAGAGGACTACCTGCACAACCCTGGACACCAGGGCTTCCCCTGCTCTGCAGAAAGAAACCATCTCCATCCTACCTTCCAGCAGCACTGGGATGTTTCACCCACAACCCAGACACAAATCCCATTAAATTCAGGCTGCAGCACCCACAGTGCACACTGAGATGTTTTCACACAGCTCCCTGAGCAGGCAGGCAACACATGCATTCCATGGGTTCCTTAAAACTCCAACATGTACATACCCAGCAGCTGGGAGTCAACCTCACAGCAACTGTGTGAGATCTGCACAGGTCATGTTTCCTTTCCTTCCAACTAGATGATGATAAATGTTAAATGTGGAGTCCAGCACCTCTTCAAGTGAAAAGAAAGGAAACTAATCCACTTCTGAGCTCAGGGAAAATGTTAAGGAAGAAATCCATCCTTGAGTTTTAAGTATTTCTACTGGAATGTGTCACATACAGGAGACAGGCGGGTGGCTGCAGGAACAGCAATTAACAGAGGTGTCACGTCAGGCCACAATTAATGCTGGAAACTCTGAGAAAGATGCATGGTCTCCACGGGATGCCAAGGCCTCCAGAGATAGCTATGGAAGAAAGGCAGCAACCACAAGGGAAGAATCTTATCAAAAGACCAGTCTGCTGGATAAAAGCTGTAGAGTGACAGATAAAGAAATGTCAGGATCTTCAGCTCACAGCCAGTCCTGCTTGGCAGGCACATCCCCAGCAACACGGGGCTCACACAACACACACTCTGCTCAACTCCTTGCTGGACACACTGAATGGAAGAGGAAAACAAGCTGGTAATCCTGGCCACGTTGCCCATCTCAGGCCTTCAGCACTAACCAGGCTGTGTTTGCACTGCTGAGAGTTCCAACACACTGAAGAGAATCAAACTTTTACTAATTATATCCGAGCATGAGGGCTCTGTGCCCAGAATAAACTGCCCTATCATGCCACACTCAGCAGACCCTGCCTCTCTCAAGGGAACATGTTGGGACTTGCTGGCTGCTTTCCGGGGCTGGATTCCAGAGGAACAGGACTGATGACCCCAAAAGGAATTCCTATTCCTGCCCGGCGACCTCGCGAGGCTGCAGCCCCGTCGCAGTCCCTGACACGAAAGCGAAACGAGCTGTCTGCCAAGTCCAGTGACGAGGTGCTGGCCCTCTCTGAGGGACATAATTCCTGCCTGAGGTGACACATCGGGGCCACACGCTCTCAGTACCAAGACACAGAGAGGAGAGGAGAGGCTCGTTGGAGAAGAGGTTTGTGCTGTGCTTGCAGGCCAGCAGCACTCTGCACATTCAAAGCTCATCCCCCTGGCTGAAGCCTACCCAGCACACAGCAAGACATTCCCAAGAGCAGGGCCAACCCATGGCTTTCCCCAGAACCTGAAAAGCCAGTTTGTAGGCAGATCTCTTGCAAGTGGATTGCTTAA